GTAAAGCGTCCACGATCCTGATTTTTAAATCTTTCTTTCCTGCTCAATACTACGACAAGATGCGTGTAGCGCAGTGGCTAGGGGTGCCATGCAATCACAATTGTCGTGTCTGGTTCAACTCGCGCCTTTAGCTAACTAGGCCATCCTGCTCCTTAGGTCAGCAAACTGGCAATAGTCTGAGAGGATTGAAACACTGATTTGACACATTGGTAGGCTTCCGCTATTTATTATGTAAACAAGATAAGCATTCGTCCACTTTTAAGATGCTACGAATGGAGTTGGATACATGGCGCATCCATAAAGAATTGATGAACGCCAAACGCCTTACGCTTTAGTTTTTAGCCAGTGCATGACATGACACTAGATTTGAACGGAGTCCGCTGAAGCATCACTACAGAGCGTTTATGTTTTCCTAGTTTTAGTATGTGGTGCAAAAGTCTTTTATTTTATTTAACATATTCATGCCTTTCTTTCAATGCATATGTGCCAGGAAATTATTGCGCGCTTTAGTCTCAAGCTAATATGTCTTAGCTTACACTCATCTGTCTGCATCGATTGAAACATAAATCTGCGAATCTTTGCCAACACTAGGCGAAGTTTAGCATTCAAGCAAAATATTTCATCATTTAAGAGACGAAAGCGCGTATTTTTTCTCTTTTCTCCTGTCGAGGACTCGTCTCTACCGAGCACAAAAGAACTTTTGTCACACCCACGGTGTGTGTACCACTGGCGTTCTCGGCTACTTCTCTTGCATGTTCTAATGCACGTTACAGATAGAATAAGGTCTCTGCTTTAGGTCTATCAAGTTCACACATTCTCAAATATTTCACTTTCAGTTTCGATGGTATTGACGAAGAACCATCCGCCATCATGCAGTTCTGTTACTACCTTTCGTAATTTATGAAGTTGTCAGTATTCAGGAAGATTTGTATGTCTGGAGTGTGGTTTTAGGGCTCGGTGACGTTAAGCTTCATGAATCTATGCATAAACGAAGATGACGTTTCAGCAGCAACAACAACATTCGTCCCAAAAACCTTCGTCCATTAGGCGTTTTGAACAAACTTCGGATCTGATAGTGCATGAGTACACACCTACGCAATCATCAATATCCCCCAATATATATATATGTATATATATGTATATATATATATATATATATATATATATATGGAAGTGTGTCCGGTTGGAGCGATTGACCTTACAGCATAAGGTACTTCTCATCGAACATTTTGTTCTACGCCATTTTTTTGCTATCCTTATTTCTGTGATCTACTTCCACATATATACATATCCCAGAACTTTCTTTGTTTGGTATGTTGTCTTAGACGTCTACTATACGGCTGCTATACTATACGGGTTTTGCCATCTTCACGATTGTCGTTGAATACTGGCTGAGTTGATTCTCACTGGAACCTTGCTCAATCGCTTCCATATTCTTCACAAGCAACACACATTAGCCTTTATGAATTGAGCATAACTTCTCCCAAACAAGTGGGATGTAAATTTGCGGACACAAGAGGTATGGTGGGCCGATTGGTTGCCTTCCCGATGGAGTCTAACCAGCAACCATGTGTATGTGGCACGGTACCTCTCGCGCCCCTACTCTCGTTTTTTTAAATGCCAGCATTGTTATTCTCCACTTATGTACAAATATGCACATTGAATTTCTTTATCTAGTATTCATGTTTCCGGAAAAGTCACAACAACAATGGTATGAACGTTTTGGTTATCATCATTATACACACGACTTCTGAACTCCTTTAGGACTTCTCATCCTGATTTCCTTCTTGTGAATGTGATTTTTCGTCCGAAACTTTGTTTTCATGATGATTCCTTTTTGTGAGTTTACATACGACGTTTTCATCTTGAAACCCAGTTATGAGTAAACCAATCCTAGTATCAAACTAGTTATATGGTGTCTAACCTCTCACTGACTCACAAAGACCACTGGCTTCTTGTGGTGGTGACGACCTGAAGAAGGCCTCAATTAGGCTGACCTCCAGATTCCAGACAACCACAGTGGCTAAATCAGCGAATCTCCGGAGAATAGAAATTATGCTATTACTCGCAGAGCCATCGAAGACGTGTCATCCAAGTAAATAAAATGGTGACCACCCAGGAAATGCTTCGTTCGAACGAATCAATACGAAACGTGTTTCACCGTCTCGCTTTCAATCTTCACTGTACTCGTCAATCAATAGTTTATAGTCTAATCATTAGGAGCGGATGTAAATTATCCGAAAATGTCGAAGGTCATTGGATTCTTCCATTTACTAGCGTGGGAAAAATGAACGGTGCGAAAAGAAACCTTAGAAACAAGGCAAAATATTTCTCAGTGAGGCATATTATGGATCGCACGCACATATATATACCTGTCCATCACCTGCGCTTCATCCATTAGCGGATTGAGGCAGTCGAGCAATTCTGTATCCCACGAAACTCATCGTTCATTTCTGACTTGCTACTGATATCTTCGAAAAGGTGTATGGTAGGTTTGTAAGGTTTTCTCATTTAATGGAAGTCGGATGCAGCAGTTGTTTGTCGAACCATTTCTTTAGTATCGTAGTTGTTTAGAAGGGAATCACTGTGATACCAAATCCAACTAATTAATTGTTTGACGACTAATCAGATGTCATGTGTTTTGCTCTAACAAGTGCACAATTTCCTGGAACTTCTCTGACATAATGGTCAATCAACTGTAATTTATAATTATTAAAAGAATAAGGAATAAATCATTCGGCGTTGATCCTTCCTCGTAAAGATTCGTTGTCCATTTCACTTCACTGTCAGTATAATAAAGTTAACCGAATACATTACTGAAACATACAAAACCTTAAGAAAGCTTATTGAAGTATCAGGTCAGTCGACCTACGTGGAATGGCAAGCTTGTTTAGTCCGGGAGCAGAATCGAACTAAGGACAACGTTTCTATTGCAGGGAAACACTTGTCACTGAGCTAAAGGCACCCTTTATAAATGTTAGGAATACATAAACTTGAATATAGTATTCCATTTCAAAAGAATTCGTGTTTGATGATCTGAGTTTCACAGGTTGGTTTACTGTATCTTTCAATGTGGTCGTTTGGCGAAGTCATTTACCGCTTGTCTAGTCACACAGTTAATGAACCGGCCAAATTGTTAACTGGTAGAGGTATGAAAAGAGAAGTAATATACTGGCAATTGATGAACAGCAAGAACTTTTCTATTCCACTCTTTTATCTTCGTCCTTTATTCATTAATCCGTGTTTTATTCTAAAAAACCATCAAAAAGATATCTGGTCCATAGAGATTATGAACGCTGCTAAGTGGTTCTATGGGAATTTCAACTACAGCCGCAGCTTAACTGCGTTCTATGCCAATTTGGGCGCCCCAGATCAATCCCGCTGACGGGTGATTGCTGTGGTAAAGATCGATAGAAATAGCTGCGAGGCAGGCGAAACGAATGACCCGCATGGTGTAGTGGTGAACGCGTTACTCCCCGGAAAGGACAATAGTGCGTTCGTTCCCCACCATAGACACCAGCGGTCCAGGGTTTTGCAAATATCTCAGCAACGTTGTGGTTGTATTTCGCTTAGGACTCTGCCTCGAAATTATAATAGGCAGAAAATAAAAAGGTATAACGCTGCTAAGTGGGTTATTTGTTATTTTAAAACATTGTTTTAAAAGTAAGTATTTAGCAATGTTCTAAGTTTTGTTTCCTGCTTATTTTTCTTTTTCTGTTGAAGGTAATTGCTTATAGTATTAATGGAGTACAAACATGACTCAGAGAAATGCAAAACGAAGGCCTTGGTTGGTATGGTGGGTAGCACGAGAGCCCCGGGGAAAATGATGATGGGTTCGAAGCCTACCCGAAGCCCAGAGTTTTGCTTTTATCTGGGTATCTTATAGTATATTTAGTAGTTTATTCCACTGAATATCGATTTTCGCAATAATGGGCAAAAGTTTCTGGAAATTAGAGAAAGAATGAACGGAAGTAGAAAAAACTGAGCGTTCATTTAGCGCAAACTGTTTCAAGTCGTCATCACAAATAGACGACGTTGTTCTCGCAGTGGTTGATTTTGTAATCAAATGTCTATCTTCGTTTTAAATCATTTATCGAATGATGAGAGAGATGAACTGAAACGTCACTGCTATGAAAAACCGCATGGTTCTCAGTCATGGCATCCGTCCGACTGACAGAAAATAGACGTTTCCTCATTTTGACTACTAATTAGTGGGTATTCTACTATCATTAGATATAGACAAGTTGTGCTGGAACCTTCCATGTATTGATAGAATGAGGTTATTTACATAAGCCACTGTAAAATACATAGTAATCGCTCTAGTGATTATGCAAATACTTTGATTGATGTCCACATTCGCTTCATTAACCCTTTTCAAGATTTCATTCTATAATTAGGCAGCAATCACCTACGGTGCAATGGTAGCATTGATAGCCTGTCACCTCAGAGCATCTAAGAGTTTTTCAATGGTTGCAATGCTGTGGAACGTCATATCAAGTAAATACAAAAAACTCACCATTAAATGAATAATATGTGACTCACGTGCGGATTTTGCACAATACGCGCCATGTCTACGATCTATACGACACTGCGCTAAAGAAAGAGCTTGGTTCTCGTCGTAATTTACGAAAACCGCATGGTGTCGTTAATGTTTAACGATATATTGACATTATTCTACCCTTCTATAGAGATGTTTTCTTTCCTAGTTTTGTTTCAAAAATATCTTAGTCTATTGACTAACGCCGCATTGAAGAGCATTGATAACATTGAGAAAGCACAGAAATATAGTAATGCCAACGATTTGCCCTCGCATAGTTGGTTGAAAAGAGAACTAAACGCGATTAAATATAAATGCGGCACTGTGATAGTGATGCTGAGATATTTTCAAAGCGCCTGTTAATACTCTGTTAATACTGTTTTACTCTCACATGAGAAAATATTAGGGAGTAAGTAAAGGGCTAGATTATATTGATGATTGCGTCTACATATTATAATCTAATATGCATTCAAATTCGATATCCGACCGTTTTTTTGTTGCCGTGGACGAGTTTTCATGGTCCGACGATTTACGCGGCGTATTGTTGCAGGAAGACCATCGACCACTGTTTACGATCGCTGTATTGGTGTCAGGGGTGGTCGGCGGACTGGCCGTCGTCATTGCTGTCGTCTATCTCTATCGCTTCTGTCTCAAGAAACGACCACCGGTCACAACGTGAGCAATTTTTTTTTTGCACTTATTATTTTAAAACCACTGACAAATACCGGAGATGTCATTTTAGAGACGAGATTGTACCAACTAAAGAAAATCATATGCGCACTTTCAAGTTATTCAGTGAAATTATAGTTATAAATTTAAAAGAACATTTCATTTATGTAAATCAACTCTCGCGATTAAGTTAGTTCTTCGACTAATGTAGATATTTTTTGATAATTAGGCTAACTTGATCCCTACTCTACTGTAGGTATATAGATGACTGTTTTGTCCTTTGCTCAACACAAGAGGAAATGGACAAATGTTTTGAGTTGTTGAACGAACAGTCAGAGTATATCAAGTTCACCCGAGAGAAACCGAAAGAAAACTGGCTTCCATTCCCGAACGTACAAATTAACCTGTCAGAAAATGACTACATTACGAAGTGGGTACCGAAAGCCAAGTAATAAAAACACCTTGACCGTTTTATTTACTGCTTACTCTTTTTGATGACAGGGTATATTGCGAAATATAACTTCAATGATGCTGAGATAGTTGCAAAACTCCGGACCGTAGGTGTATGCGGTGGGGAACGAACACGCTATTGCCCTTTCCGGGGAGTAACGCGTTCACCACCACACCATGCGGGTCCTTCGTTTCGCCTTTCTCTCAGCTAGTTCTGTCGAATTCGGACATCAGCAATCACCCGTCAACGGGATTGATCTGGGAGCCCAAATCGGCAATGAACCCAGTTAAGCTGAGGCTTTAGTAAGTTTTTTTTTTAGCTGAGAGAAAAACGAAACGAAGGATCCGCATGGTGTGGTGGTGAACGCGTTATTCCCCGGAAAGGACAACAGCGCGTTCGTACCCCACCGCATGCACCTGCGGCCCGGAGTTCTGCAAATATTTCAGCATCATTGAGTTTATATTTCGCAATATACCCTGCCATCAAAAAAAAAGAGAGTAGGCAGTAAATGAAAGGGTTAAGATTGTGATTATAACTAAGCCTCAGCTTAACTGGGTTCAATGCCGATTTGGGTTCCCAGATCAATCCCGTTGACGGGTGATTGCTGATGGCAAAAGATCGATATCTCAGCATTTTTGTGGTTATCTCTCTAAATTTGAACAACCAAATTCTTTTTGGTCTCGTATGAGTCGCTTATCACTCATGTAATTGTGAATGTGTTGCAAAATCAGCGAGGGATTCAAATTTTTTAGCCAGTGATTCGTGACTTTCCTTGAAAGATAATGTTTGACAACATAAATGATTTTTTAAGGTACTCTCTTTCTAAACGACAGGCCTAAAAAATGTAATAAATGTGAAGAACCACTAAGAAGAAATTTTGATGCTCAATGTGATTAACATCTTTTGAATTTTTACGCGTTGCACAACTCAAAAAGTGACATCAACTTCCCTCTTTAGCTGGGTAGCTTCTCGTTATTGTACTTATGACAGCAGATTTACCTTCGTTTCCTTGGAGAAATCCATTCAAGATTGATAAGCTGAAAAACCTGTGGTTAAACCTTAGGAGGACGTCATAAAATGTTGAGGATTTTGCCCGCTGTAATAAAAAAAATGTGAATTGTTTTGGCTACGCAAAAAGGAGATGATGGAAAATCCACCAATAAATCCAATACTTGCATACCTGGAGAGTCCGCCTTGAATTTCACAGGGGACCTCACCAGTTCTTTTCGTTTTGTTCTCTTCCAATCGTTAACTACGGAGCTATTGGTCGAGTTTTTGTGTAAGTTTCTCTGCGGGTTGAGGATATACTGTCTTTTCATTTCATTACATGAATGAATGCCGATAGAACGTGTTGGCCTTTCTTCCCTAATCTCAAGAAAACTACACCAAACCATCTTCTGCTCTGCCACAGTCGATCATAATCCTTGACAGCAACTGAGAGCTGCCCACCATCCTTCTACGGTCGTAAAATTGAGAGTATGCTTATCTTGGTAAAGCTCCATCCGATGCACCAGGGGTGGCGGCAACCTATGTTATTCCAGAGAAAATCTACCCGACTACCATTCAATGACATTAGTGAATAGGG